TGGCTGAGAGGCATTGCCCAATGCCATGTGGGTTTTCTAAGTACTGATCTCACCTTTATTAATAGGTCCTATGCTAAAAATTCATCAAACAATCCAGTTTGAGGACAGCATATGTTTCCTGCCAGAATCAAGACCAATTAGGTAGGACTTCTACAAAGAGGACATCCCAACATTGAGTCCAAAGAAGTAGAATATAAAGTGAGTTCAGCATGGAAGACTAAATGAAAAGGAGGCTGAGGCCAGATTCTGGAAGGTGCAAATGTCATGATGGGATGTCTGGATTATATTTCTCCCTGAATACAATGGGGAATGTTGACAGTTTCTGAATAGGGAAGTATAATACTACAGGTCCATCATTTTTAGAGAAGTAATTTTGCCACAGAAAATGTAATGTAGCCGTAGGTGAAGACACACATGGAAGAAAAAAGAAAGTAATAAAAGGCAACAGAAATGTGTATACTTTGGGCCCTCCCTGGTGGTGCGATGGGTTAAAGGGCAGCAATGGGAAGCTAACCTTAGCCACTTCAGCACGACTTCAATTCCAGAGCAGGGAGGTGACCCCCATGGCACAGCAGACCTCTCCTTTCTCACCCACAGCTCCCCTCAGCATTGTACTTCCTCAATCTGTCTGTTCTGCTCCCTGCTCCTCTGTCTCTGGTGAATCCTCTCTTCCTCCCTGTATCTCTGGTCTATACATCAGTTCTGGATGCACAGATAAATAAAATCTTAAAAAAAAAAGTGCATATACTTTGATTCAGGAGCTCCGCTTTTAGAGATTTAGCACAAAGAAATAATTAAAAGCATGCCCAAAGGTTTAACTGAAAGAATATCCCCTCAAGTTTATCTCAAACATTAAACAATTTTAACAACCCAGACATTCTAATAACTCCATTTCCACTCACAAGAGAAAATATTACATAACCCTTTGAACTGGCATTGTAGATGTATGTTTATTGGTTTGGTAAAATGTTAGTGTTATATTTTTAAATTAAGATAGAATCTTTAAAAGTGAGTAATAACTTAGTATATCTGTATGTACTTGTTTATGTGGTGAAAGGATGTATATTGCATCAGCATGAATTAAACACTATTTTCCATATAGTGAGCTCATATAACTTGTATAAACAACATCAAAAAAAATTTGTGATTGTCAAGGGTAGAGATTTTGAGATTAATTAGTGGTAGCAGTTGGAATGGGAAGGAGGGAACTGATGAGTCTGTGCTTGTAGAACCAAGTAATTTGGCAACTAGGTAAAGTCATTAAAATCAGGTGAATGTGAATCAGTGAGAGAAACCTGGAAGCCTTGGGTTGAGCTCAGTGCTTCCTCCATCTTTATTGAGGTTAGCAAAGGTATTATCAATGACTTGAGCAAGGAAAATCATCCTGCAGACTGGTTTAGCTTGCCAGATCATAATGTCCAGTTACGAATGCAGATAAACAAGTGAATTGTGACATCCACAGTTCTAGAGTCTCTAAGTAAATCAAGTCTACAAAAAGGCATTAAGATACTGTCAATATGGGTGAAGACTAAGCCTGCCATTGAATAGGGAATGCTGGTTGGTTAAAAAATGGAATAAGCCATTCTTTATCTTCTCTTAATTTTAGTAACTAACGAGGTTATTACCACTTGGGATCTGTTGTCTTCTCATATACATGCTAGCTTTATGTCATTCCTCACTCTCCTAAGGGGGATTATATTACATAACTTAAATTCAGGCCTTTCCACTACTCTCTCCTCTGCCAAGTTACTATATGTAACCAGAACTTTCTTTCCTAAGCTATTAATTACTTAGCTTTCTTTGCTTTTGCATTTAAAAAAATTAACTTTAATAACATTCTCTTGTATGATTGGCAAGATTTCTTTGACTAGTTTTTGATTCTACAAGTTGAAAGCCCATAAACAATGTTTCCACCTTTAGGCTATATTCCTTAGTATATTGTGGAACACTCTGATCATTACTTTCTTTTTTGGATGATTCTGAGAAGTATATTCTTGGATTTTAGGTTTCAATACCCCAAAGCAGCGCTAAATCAATCCAGTTTAGGTTGTTTCACACTTGTGTCATGTCTTCTTAGATGTTTTCCCCTTTGGATTTCCTAGTTTTACCTTTAATATATTTATTTTATTTTACTTTATTTTTCTGTGTATCTATTTACAGTACTGTTCATTTTACAACAATGTTTACTTCCTCCTCTCCCCTACCTGTCATTGTCATAGCCGCCCACATTTTAATTTAAGTAATCTAAACATTTTTTATTTTCCATCCTGTCACCTTCTAACAGCTTCAAGGGGTTCCAAGTTCCGAACATGCATTCAGTTTGCCTGAACCCCACTTTTTCACAAGTCTAACTGGTCCCTTCAGGGTTGGGGAGTTTCTGGTCCCAAGCACAGGTATGATCCTGGACACCCTTCCTTTGCATGTCTGGATTGGAACCACTTTTCCTTGGACTCAGTTCAGTGGGGACAACTCAGGTTCCCACTCTTTTCGGGGACAATTAACTCACTCCTCTGACATCCCACAGTGTTGCATTTTCCTGTGTTACTATTTTCTTATCCTACTGTGGACGTACTCATTTTTGAAATGGTATTTGACATTCAGCTGGCCCTCAATAAACACTATATGAATACAACACTAATGAGCACATTATTTTTATTTAATCAGGAATCTTGACTAAAAGGAAAGTCATCTTTTTTTTTTTTAAAGATTTATTTATTTATGCATACAGAACTGGGGTACAGGCCAGAGGTGCAGGGGCTGTAAGAGGACTCACCAGAGACAGAGTGGGATGCAGAACAGGCCGACTGATGAAGTACCTGCTGAGGGGAGCAGCAGGTGGGTCAGGAGAGGTCTGTCATGCCTTGTGGATCACCTCTGGGACAGGCGGGGATCAAACTCATGCTGAAGTGGTTTTAGCTGTGCCTTAACCCGCTGTGCCACCAGGGTGGGCCCGAGAATCAACATTTTTTGAAAGAACACTGCTATGTTGATGGGAAATGGGAGTAGGAATGAAGAGATAAAAAAGAGCTTGATAACCAACCAACTTATAAACTCAAGAGCATTATTTTTTTTTCACTACACAAAATCAAAACAAAACCCTTATTAGATCCACCGTATCTGTATATCTGTGTCAATTTGTTGTTCCTTTGGAATGTAGATATGTATACATAACTACATAACTATCATTTTGTAATTTTGCTGGGTTAGAGATGTCAGGGAAATAACAATATGTCCACTAAATTTGACTTTCAGATATACAACAGATAGTTTTCCAGTATGTCTCAATCTTGCATAGGCTATAACTAGGCTAAAAATCGTTTACTGTCTCAAATCTGAAATTCAAGTTCAATGGGGTAATCATAGGTTTATTATCTAAGTCTGCCAAGCTCATACCCAGTATTTTCTCAAGGCATAACTGCTAACTGCTAGCCACTCTGAGCCCCTCAGTGAATATGCACTGCTGACCCTCAGAGAAGGCCTAGAGCTGACACTTCAGAGAAATAAAGTATCTCACTTTTGAAAGACCTGATTTCAAAGCCCCAAACTTCCTTAGGTGTGATGCTATCTCTTGCGTCTTCTTCTGGTCTTCAGGTCAACAGGGAATGATTCACAGAGTCCTCTGGTCAGAGCATCATGTACACTTCTAGATTAACACTCTGGGTCAATTTGTATCACTGATGGTTATGATTGTGGGTAGAAATAGCAGGTGAGACTGAAGGAGCAGTGATGAAAATATTCACCAGAGACAAAGAGCAGAAACCAGAGAGGTAGATTTTTTTAAATGTACTTCTAAAAAAAGCAGCTGGTGAGATGGGAGAAGTCTGCACTCAAAGGAGGATTGAGAGTCTCTTTTAGACTGTTTTTGTTGACTTGTGGTGCCTGTAGTAGGTTATCTGCTAGGTTATCTGCTGTCAAGTGCAGGCCTTTACCACAGAAACAAGCACTGGTCCTGCTTCTGCTTTCCTGGAGCAGAGCTGTTTTATCTTCTGGTCATGCTGGTCCATTTTATTGGCCTTAGCCCCAAGGCAGGCTTATCCTGTCCCTTATCTACTCATGTCTCCAAGGCCTGCCTGCTGGGCAAGGAGTGGGGCTTAGTTTCTAAACTTATTAAATTGTCCCCCAAGAGTTAGTCCAGGAAGTACAATCAAATGTCAGTAGGCTGATATAATTTTATTTAAATTTTCATCTATTGTTAGGCTTAAATAAATTTTTGCTTTTTAAAATACATTAAAATTAAATACCAGTGTGAATATTTCCCAGGTGCTAGGCTCTGTGGTAAGCATTTCACATGTATTTTCATTTCCTTCTTATAATGTGTTTCTGACTGATGTACTCTGATTATCTCCATGTTAGACCTAGAGTTAAAAGGGTAAAGAATTCGCTCAAGGCTATACCAGCAGTGAGCTTGAGAAATGAGCTAAAACTCCTGCTCTCTTACTACAAAATTCTCAGAATAAATATCAAATAAATTTTACCTACAATCCCCCCCTTTTCTGCACCAAAAACCAAAACCACTTTTTTTTTTTTTCAAAAGAGATATTTATTTATGTATTCAGAACTGGGGTACAAGCCAGAAGTACAGGAGTGGTGAGAGGATTCACCAGAGAGAGTGGGGAGCAGAACTGGCAGGTTGACTAAGGACACTGCTGAAGAGTGCAGCGGGCAAGACTGGAGAGGGCTGCCTTGTGGGTCACCTCGGGGTGGGGGATGGAACTCACACTGAAGCAGCTGGGGCTTGCTTGCAGTGCTGTGTCCTAACCCATTGAGCCACCAGGGAGGGCCCTAAACCACAAACTTTAATACTACATGTAAGTATCAAGTTATTTACCTTGAGTCTCTAGATGAAGCTTTAGATAAATAAGTTCTTATTAGAATTGTTTTAAGTAGGAAGCATTGGGCTATAAAGAAAAGAATAGCATTTAAACCCCCAAATAACTGGGTTCATATGAATGATTGGTTGGACCCTTTCTTACAACCACTCCCCTAAATTATAAACTCACCTCAATGTATTCCGATGTAGAAATTAAATGAACACAGTTGGCAGGCCTTCTGATACGGAGTTTCATAATTTCTGAGTTGGCATCTAAAGTACAACATAAATGCAAAACGCACAGAGCATTTCACTGGGAAGTAGAATAACTTGGAATTCTGTGATTAAAAGTTTGTCCTTGAGGTTGAAGGAAGCAGAGAGCAGATCTGATCGAAATGGTGTAGGGAACAGGACATGGGGAGGTGGGGGTCGGTCAAGGCACCGGCTCTGGCACAGTCTGGGCGACCCTCGGGCAAGTACATTAGCCCCGGGGTCGCAGCAGCGGGACTCACGCCCTGGTAGGCAGCGCCTGTACGCGCTCTGGTCCCAGGGACTGCCGGCCCCAAGCTCCACCCAGTCCCTCCTCCGTAAAGCTGGGGGAGGAGAAGGTCAGGCAATAAAACCGCACTGGATGAGGCGCACAGCCGGCTGACACTCGCTCGAGGCCGCTGCCAGGTCGATCTGCGGCCGCGGTCAGGAGCACCCGGTTCAGGAGCGCTCAGGCCGGTGCGTGGCGAAACGCGCCCTGGGCTCCGGATCCCGCAAGCGGCTCACTCAGCGCGCTGGTGAGGAGGGACCCCTGGAGCAGGTGGAAGGCGGAGCAGGGGTGCGGGGCGTGGGGTGGCGAGCTTGGTCCTGCCGGGAATGGAGCAAGTCGCTGGAGGCCAGAAACCGAGAAGCGAGGGAGGGTTGAGGGGAGGAGGGGAAGGAGTGGGTAGAAAAGCATCATCCTCCTGGTCTGCGCTGGGCTGGGGTCCCTGCAACGCTAGGAAACAGCACTCAGATCTTTGCAGAGGCCTGGGAGGAATCCCGTTCTTCCAAGCCTTTGTCAGGGAGGAAAAAGACCTCAAAATTTTGGTGCAGGGGGGTGGGGGGGCGGGGGGGGTAAGGATCTAGACAGGAGGGGACGTGAAGAGCTTCTTATCCATAGACCTACCGCTGGGACAAAACAAACAATCCCACTACAGAGTATTGCTTATTTTGGTGCTCAGTTCTAGGAAGCTGTTGTAGGACCAATATTATAAAAGCAAAGCAACATTCCCTCCCCTCTCACTCCTCTCACCCTGCCACCCCCACACCACCCTGCCCCACTTCCCCACTTGCCTGGCAGATAAGATCAAGTCTGCTCAGTCCTGAATTAAGAGGAAGCTTGTTTTTAGAGTCATGCAAAGCCAACAAACAGAGCATTCTCCCTCCCTCCCCCCCCCCACCCCTTAGAGTTTCTAGTAGATGTTGTTATCCAAAAATACATCTAAATTCTGGCTTTTATTTAGACCAGTGGCCCTTGGGTCTGCTGCAGCTATGATAAGGAGAAGGTAGACCTGGGAAGGGTTGGAGGGGGGAATGATAAACCGGAGCTTGTCACTTTTAAAGGACCCAATTCAGTGTTGAGATATAAATCAGTTCTGCCTGAATTACCTTACCCAAATGAGAATGCTGAGCTAGCAGACATGCATGAGTAGGAGCTGGAAAATGAGGCCCTCAAAGTGTCCAGACCCAACTCCAAAAGACTCAGGACCAAATCTTGGGCTAGCATGAACTCAGAGACAAGGGCATTGAGCAATGGCCTGGTCCATAAGAAAGTGATGGCCTTCTGGCCACAAGCCACTGGTGAGCTGCCAACACCAGCTTGGATTTCCTCACAGAGTGAATTCTGGAAGCTGCAGGAGCCAGTGAGAGAATCTATGGACGTGGCATTTTCCAAACTGCCGGGTTCCTGTCTTTGCATTGGAGCAATGAAGGTTCTCTCCTCTCTGCAGACCTTTGTGAGGAGTTGCCATGTCAAATATGATCAAATGGCGATTCTCTTCATTGACCCAGGCCCTTCAATCTCCAGGCTTACACTGCAATGTGTCTCCATAGCCCGCCAAGACTGTCTTTGCTTGAGAGGGATGTTAATCTGGTTCAACTACTACTCATAGTTGAGAAATCTCTTCTGAGGTGTGAAAGGGCTTGCCCAGCACCCCAAGGAGTTTCCCCATAAACAAAACAAAACAAAAAAAACAGCATTTCCTATGAACTCGAGGCATCTGTTTTCTCATTTGCTCTCCACTGTGTCTCTCTGTCCTTTGCACCCTAATAAGGAAGACACATTCCCTCCCACTTGCTTCTGCAGGCAACTATTTGCCTTCTTGGAAGCTCTCTCAGCCTAGAGCATTAAGTGCCAACCAGCTACTTGTGCAACTAGTGTGGGAGCCATGCGATGTCACCGGAGTTTAGGAATATGTATTTCTTTCTCCAAACCCCTCAAAATGGATATTTCCTGTGAAGGAAAGCAGACATCTGATTATACCTTAGTGTATCTTAGGCCTGATTTTTTTTTTTTTTCAAGGCCGTATTTTGGCTTCTGGAGATGTGAGAAGTTTCCATAAAAGTGAAGCGTTGAAGAAGTTTTAGGGACGAGAGAGTGAAAGGGGGCATTTAGCGCTGAAAGGATATTGTACCAGAATTCTCCAGCTTTGTGGTTTTAAGGGATGGACCATGAGGTTTTTGTTTTGTTTTGTTTTTGTTTTTTTTACGATTTATTTTTTATTTATGCAATCAGAACTGGGCTACAGACCAGAGGTGCAGGGGCAGTGAAAATCTTCACCACAGACAGAGTGGGGAGCAGAACAGGCCGACTGATAAAGCACACTGCTGAGGGGAGCAGCAGGCGTGTCAGGAGAGGTCTGCCGCCATGTGGGTCAGCTCATACTGAAGGGTTCCAACTCATACTGAAGTGGCTTTAGTTTTTCAGTGCTGCGCTTTTAACCTACTACACCACCAAGGAGGGACCCTGGACAATGAGTTTTTACTGCCTTTCTTTATGAATTCAGGTACCTGTTATGTGCCCTACTGTCACTTTGATTCATTTTATAGGTATGACTCATAACACACTAATGGAAGCAGGCTAATAATATAGGCTTTAAAAAACAAACTTAGCAGTTGTGGAGAAAGAAAAGCCTACTCTAAAAATAGATACTGACTGAATTAAGTGGAATAGTTGATTTTTTGTATAATCATTGTTCATTCCTTCATTGACTTCAGAAAATATTTGCAGAGTCACCAGTGAATGCTGGACACTGAGTAAAGACCCATAATATAGAAACTATAAGATGGGTAGTGGTCATCTCTGCTTGTATGCAGAAAGAGGGAGATGGGTAGTGGTCATCTCTGCTTGTATGCAGAAAGAGGAGGGGCCCTCCTTGGTGGTGTAGTAGGTTAAAAGCGCAGCACTGAAAAGGAGGGAGAAGGGAAAAGAGAGATGGCGGGGGCGGGGGGGATTCTAGAATTGGGCTTTGAGGAAAGGAGACTTCTCTGAGAGATGGTATTGAGATGAGACCCGAGGATGAGCAGAAGGTTCCACAGTCCTGGGAACAAGCTAGGTGTGTTCTAGGCTTGTTCTAGGCTCAGTTGAAATGCACTGTAGACAGGACTAAAGGAAAAGAGGGAAACTGAGGAAGGAGGTTGACAGGCAGGTCATCACAGCCTCATACATTGAGGTGAGCAGTTTAGACTTTAATGCAGTGGGAAGCTATTTGAGTGCTATCTGGAGAATGTTTATAGCAGAAGTGGAGAGATTCAAGATCAGTTCAAGTCATTGGCAGTGACAGGCAGAGGGTGGTGGCAGTGGTGGGCGGAAGCAATGCATGAGGTGAGGTGGAGTGGGAAGTTACTTGATGTTTCTCTGTCTAAAACTTCCCATCTACATTATGCAGATGCCATTGCTACATCTGGCCCATTTTGTTTATAAAAATAAGCTCATGAATAAGCTCTTACAGGTAATGTACTATTGTATGTATTGCTATTTGCTAATACTGAGTGTGTTACTTTGAACACCCCATGCCTCAACTTCAAAAACTTTATACTAAGTTTCAATGATTTTTTTCTTTTATGTCTCCAATACCTTAATGTTCTATAGGTATCTCATTCCTCTCAGAACATTGGGAAACCTTAACTAAGAGCTGTCAGTAAAACATATCACAGACCACAGTGAAATTAATGTTCAAATGCTGACTTACTTTTGGAAGTTGAATGTGATCAATTAAAATTCGAAATAGAATATTTGAAGCTGGGATCTATAAACAATATGAAAGAAAAAAAGTTAGGTTTGCTTTTGTTGTGGACTCAGTACAAAGATTTGTTGATAATTGAAAATCTACATGGGACAGCAAAGTTTCTGAAGGACTGTGAACCCGGGTTGAATGAGACTGTCCTTTAGAGAAGCATATTTTCTTTGAAGGAACTCTTGAACTTTCCCTAATTGATAGCTGACTATATTTTGGAGGCCAAGGGGAAGTTTTGAAGTTGTTTACCAAGTGGACTAGGTCAGCAGTGACCTGCCATTGGAAGCAACTTCCTAGTTCTCTTTCTTGCTTCATTTTGATGAACAGCTTACTAGAAGGAGGCATCTGTTTAGATGAAAACAAAGCTCATTTACATGGTTGTGCACTGGGAGAATCTGCTATTAGTTGCTGGTTGGTCTCAGGGTTGTCTTCACCTGCTAGACCCTGTTAACTATTTTACTAGTCACCTTATCTGAATTTCAGCTTAAAGTAACCATTCTGATGATGCAAGTTGCAGACCAATGTGGCAGTAATTCTGGGACTGTACAGGGTTTCTTATTTTCAATTTTTGCATAGAACTGGGGTGTAGGCCAAAGGTGCTGGGGGAGGGTGGTTGAGGTGTGGTAGGATTCACCAAACACAGGATGGAAAGCAGAACATGCAGATTTACTAAAATACTCTGCTGAGGGGAACAGTGGCAAGACAAGAGAGGTCTGCTGTGCCATGTGAGTTAGCTCCCTGGCCAGAGATGGAACTTGGGGCTGTGGCAGTGATAGTGCTGAAATTTAACCGTTAGGCCACCACGGAGGGCCTGTACAGTTTTTCTTTTGCTATATCTACCATCATCATTTCAGGTTTCTAGGGGGAGGTTGTAGTTGGACATCTTTAAGGGAGAGGCTACAGTGAAATTCATGTTCAAATAATAGCCTACTTACTTTTGAAAGCTGAATGTGATCAGGTAAAATTCCAAATAGAATATCTGAACCTGGGATCTATAAGAAATATAAGAATAAAAAATGTTAGATTTGCTTTTGTCCTGGATACCTAGATACTTGAGTGCACCGAGATATTTGACTCTTAGGATACGGTGAAGGTGTTCTCCAAGATCTAGGAGCATGGAGCCCTCCTTCCTCTTTGGCGGCGATGAGCTGGGTGCAGTGGTTTTCCCATCACATGGTCACATTTGTCAAAATCTTCACTCACCACTGCTTTTTCTAATGCATGGGTTCCGTGTAACCTATTTATGTTATCTGTTTGGCCCTTATGATTTCTGACCTTTAACCTAAGGATTGGGATTATCCATGCAGTGTATCCATTTCATTCTTGCCTCATCCAGGGCAGGAAGCCACCTTTAGTGTCCTTGCCGGTACCTCCCCACCCCCACCCCTGCCCCTTACCGTACCCCCATCTATGCTAAAACCACTCCTCTGATAAAAAGAATATTATATTTATTGATAAGTCCTGCTAACACAGTTTGGCAAGGTAGGTCCACATAGAATCTGTCCTTTTTCTACAAAATT